ATTTATGTTATTATATCAAACATCTCAGGCAAAGGAATAAACAAGGAAAAAAAATACTTAGAGGGAACTTTTTCCTGAGTTCACGAGTTACTCACCACCAGCAGGTTGGTTATAGGGAGTCATGTGTTTATTACACCAAAAAAGTAAATGTCGTCAGGAACTTTCAGTGATGTGTTGTTAGAGTCATTCATGGGGAAGGAGTTAAAGACGTTCTCGGTCGTTAGAATTTTCTTAGATTTGGCTGGGTTGGAATTTTAATTTTCTTTTGGACGAGGAGGGAGGGTTATAATTATTTCATATCATGAATTCTCTTGGAACTTACTTATAGCAAGCCCATAGGCACAAGCTTTGTACAAGACCCTGTGATTAGCAAATAGTAAAATCTATGAAAAACGAAAACGATATGTCCAACTCTAATTATAACCAACACATTTTAACGATAACTTGGTACCTTAAAAGCTTACTTTGTATTTTCGTTTTCTTGCATTCTATCAGAAGGCAGACATGCGGACCTGTTTCAGCGTGTTACATGATATGGCTGCTTTTCTGTGATTAGGGCTAAGTGTTTCACTGCTGGATGACATTTAGGAAAACCGTCCACAACTATGTCTAACAATTCCTTGTAAAGCTGATAAATAAGGTTTTCATAATGATAATATCTCACTTAATTCCGAAATTTGGGTGTCTTAGTCTTTGTTCAACTCTCCGCTCTTTTTACCAGTTTGTTCGTATTGAAATATTTCCTCAGGGTCAGATTTTCTCGTGAGTCAAAATATTTTACGAATGATGAGCCAGAATTTACGGTCATTTCATGGCCGATAGCTTTTAAACGGAGTTTTATCCAACTGTTTCTGATTGCATGAAAGTTTGGGAACAAACATGGCCGACTGCACTTCGATTGCCGGCAAAGGTTTCAAACATTTTTTTGTGGGAGGGATATTCATTGTGTTATTGCATCTTCTTATTTTCAACATGCTGTCCATTGGTAATAACTGTAGATACTTCTTGTATAAAGTCTTTCGAGAATCTCGACTATCTTTGCTCGGAAAATCGGAATCTAAACCACCAGCCTTCACTGATACAACAGAAGGGTTGAAAAGTTCTCTTGTACCCAGGCCCTTTCGCGTTTTTGTTGCCAAAGGTTGTCGTAGACCTTCCATACCCTTTTCGATCTTTGATTTCCTCCTCGCCGTAAGCCTCTTCTCTAAATTACATATTTTGGCAATGGGGCTTAACACAGGCCCTGTATCAAGTAAATGTTCTCTCCTTTCCGGACGTCTGCCAGGGTTACAGTTGGTGTTTACCCTCGCATTACGAGCCGTTCTGTTCAAGGGTAATTTTTTTCCCATCTCTTTATCTTGCTTATCAGGTTTTTTTGGGATCCCACGCAGTATGTGGAGATTATTGGGTGTGGAGTGTCGAGAGCTTTCTTCGTGTAAACGGCATGACAATGTGTCCATGGTCGACCTATCGCTTTGTGCTGTTTCTAACATGTTAACAGCGGATCTTGATGTGAAACTTCCACTGTATGAATGACACCAGTCTAAAATGATCGAAAGGGAACAGATGAAAATTTAAAGAGTCCTTGATAATTGAATAAGCTAGAATGAGGCCACTCCCCTTACACTGCCGACAGAGGGGTTGAGGGGGGTCTCCTAATAGAGGTGGGGTAGGGATCTAGCACGTCTTATCAGCGTTGTTTATTTGATTGTCTCTGGACACTTAACTGTCACCTGCCTGAGCAAGAAAAACGCCCGTAAATAACCTAAAGTTCCTTTTACCACGCTTTCGGCCCGATTTCGAAATACTAGAGGGGGCCTTTCGCAATTAGAATTTTGAGAAGCTGACTTGTCAAGTGTTAGATTTCAGCATAAGAGACATTCAATTCGCTCACCAGCTCTGTTTGTTATAAGAAACATCGATCGTTCTTCATCATTAAGCCACTCGACAATTCCTTCAAAGCATGAAACAAAAAGACATTGAGATATAATAAAGTTCAGACATTATAACTTTCAAGCTGGCTTTACCCTACATAAGTAGTTTATGGTTCAAACGCCTGGTTAGGCTAGGGTCTCTAGGTTTCGTTCTCGGGGAAAAAAAAACCAAGCTCTTCTCTCAAATGCCTTCAAATTCAGTTGAAACACCACGTAAACCAGTTTCAGAGGTTTGATAAAAACTTGCTTCGTGAAAGCTCTCACTCACCTCTGTATTCTACCTTCAGGATCATTTTTATAGTTCCAACAGGTAACTCAAACAGGGGAAAAATTTTGAATTACGAGCGGTAAGTTCTCGTTAATTTCTTGAAGGACAGACTGGTTTCTTTAGATCAGAAAATTATTATCCAAGCTGTACGTATATATTTCATATTTTGAGTTCCAAGAACTGAATAACATAGGGAATTATATATATTTTATTTTTTTTGCCGATAATATTCTTCTGTTTCCTTATTACCCAAGTCATCATGTAGAAGCAATAACTGACTGATTTCCCAGCCACAGAGATCCTCTCCTCGTGATACAATGGAGGAATTCCTGTTAACAGAAACATAAAATACTAAAATTTCACCAATAAACCACCCTTCCTGCTAATCTCTCGTCCATAACGCTACTGAATTTAAGATTGGTACTGAAGTGCACTGCCACCGAGTGACGTTAAACCAAAATGGAAGCCAAATAAGACCTAGGAAAATATCACAAGGATAATGCCCGAGCGCTCAAAGTGAAACCAGTGCAATCCCGGAGCGCAATCTTGTTCAAGAACTGAGTTCTACAATTTGCAAAAATGGAACTGGATCTTGGTTAGGAACACAGGAAACGGGAGCAATCACTAGATTTAGTAAAAGAAAAATGCTGACGAAAATTTTCCTGTGGTAGACTGTCCAGATCAAGGGGATATGACCTTACCATTTACTACCTGTTTCGAGAAAGGGTATATTTCGTTTATGAATAAATTCATACAGAATAATTCTCATAATTACTATGCTCAGTATTTGAACGTGCTCAAGGTTCCTATTCCTGCAATCAAAAACTCCTCATATCAAACTGAGTGAGAAATTTATATCCTTCACTACTAAGTAAATATACTTGGCATGGTGTAAAGTGTTTATAACTAAACATGATTCCTAGTTAAGTGGGATCTTGAAATGGAGACGATGTTAAAATGGAAAGACAAACGAAGATCACGGGGAAGATAATCTTAGATAAAGATAGGTTAATATGGGTGATTTTGTGAGGCAAACAGTTGTGAGGTAGTTCTAAAAGCAGGTGTAAAGAAGAGGATTGAAAAAAGGATGAAGGAAATCAGAAAATCTGTCTGACTTTTCAAGAATGGTGATAAGTTACTATGACGACCATCTGATCAGTCTGCGAATGCCGCACGAGAGTGTCAGTTTATAAAATGTTTCTACAATAAAACTGAGAAGTGAAGAACTAACGATATAAATGTTTTATGGCCTCTTTTATTCTCAAAATAATCCACCGTAATGATAATTCAAGAATGAAGGGTCCTTATCTCGTTAGAAACCTTCCCTTTCAGTGTAATTCATACCTTATCAAGCAATGGCTGATGGAAATGATATAGCAACGCGCTCGCTAAGCCAAATTAGAGGGAAAATTAAGGCCGATAGGAGGGAGAATTGTTGATCAGGTCCTAGGTACGTGTTGAAGGGTTTGAATTAAACTCAGTGTTGTTTTGCTCCAGACCTACTGTGAATTACCGAGACTAAAGCTCATGAAACAGTGCATATTTTGTTATATTTAAACCTAAATATCGCTGAATGCGGTTTTTCTCTCAAGCAAGATTACAAGGGCTTGAGGCCGTTGAAAGAATATTGAATTTAAGGATAGCAAACCAAAAATGTAGAATATTTGATTATTTAAATGTCTTGCTGTTCACAAGGAAAGATCATTGCGAAGTTTTGAAAACGTCTGCTTTCTTTAGAATCACTTTACATTAGCTTTACCACAAGCAATGAAATAATTGATGTTTTGTAAAGGAAATAATTTGAAATGCATCAATTTATAGAATTAATGGATCGCCTGAGTGTATGTTCATGCAAAAGCCTTCATAAGTAAAGGTAATCAGGTACAATGTAAATTCAAGATTTTCTTATCTTCTTCCGTCATTTGAAACAAAAACATCCATTATTGGATGTTTTCAATGAAGTCCTCAAAGTGTCTACATACAAAAATAATCTGGTTCTTGCTATTCTTAACATCCATCAACTTATTATCGCAGTACTAACCTCAAATCTTGTGCCGAAATATGTTTCGTTCTTAGGTTATCTTGATTGGTACTGTAATCTCGTTTCGTTTTATTCCTAAACGAGCACGGAGTTTCCTGCATCATGTCGCATCACGTATTCAAATTTTAAACTGATTTTTCACGGTTTATCTGTCACAGGAAATGTAATTCAAGAACGGATGGACATTCATAGTCCCCTAAAGTGTTCACTATTTACCTTTTCCACAGCAACATCCCACAACAAATTTTCAAAGGTGTCCGGAAATTGCCTAAAAATAGCTCCTAGTAAACAAAGATGAAGGCTGAAATCTGTCCAATTAGTGATTTAAAACGTGAATTGCGGTTTCGTGATTAGAATTTATCTTTATTTCACTTCCATGGTTTGTGAACAAGTGACAGTACTGTTTACACAAAACCTGCAGGGTGCCTAACTTAAGTTCTGTCTATGTACATTTGTTTGTGCTTGAGTAGCTTCGATAAATAGAAATCCTGTCATCTCTATTTTCATTACACTACGGGATTCAACGTAGCACCTTTTTCACACGCTTTTCAAAAGCTTTTAAGAACAAAATGAATTGTAATGGAGGGCTCTTACGACAATCTGATAATTATTCCTCTGGGAAAGAAACGGCTTTCACAGACTCCAACTAAGCAAATCTAATGATAATTACTGTAGGATATCTAACAAAGTTATGTTTATTTTTTCAAGTAAGTAATCTTTATTTTGTTAAAGAAAACGTTTCGTAGAGGTGAAGGAAATTAATGTTTTATGATCTAATGAGCTCTCTTAAAATGAAGGGAACATTTTTTAAGCTGGGAAACTACAATTTTAAAATACACTTTGATTAGTTTTAAAAATTATTTCATTGTCTTACGGCTAACATATTTTTTCTTGAACAAAAATCTATGCCCGTCATCTGCTTCATATGCAAGCATTTTACTTTAATTAAAATCCTTTTTTTCGTACCCAGATCTCAAATGGCGAGTAAACGCTGAGAGTTATGGGTAACAAAGTATAACAAGCCATTGTAAAGGACGCCAGTAGTTGGGAACTTTCAACGGAAAGCTATAACGGTAGGCAAAAGCTAACCCGGAGAATGTAGCTGATAGTCAGTGAGATGGAAAAAAAGCGTAGGTGCGGAAACTGGGGAAAAGCAGATATAAAAACTCTGACTTGTTAGGTCGAAACCAGTTTTCGCGCGGCGTAAAACACAATTCGACGTTGAACTAAGAAAAACATCATTAACAAATTCGTTGGAGGATAAACGACGGCCGAAATATTCTTTCACAATTATGGATCGTAACTAAATAGCAATAAAATCCTTAAAATAAGCTAAATTATCTCAGAGGCAAGAATGATGATAAGGGATGTCACATTCCTTAGAAAATTGTGTTTCAATTGGGTTCGAAATACGATACAGACGAACGGTATGATAAGACTAGAAGCTCCCGGAAAATTGAGTGTTTTATATGGGTGTATACATTAGAACCGATTTGGGTAGAAACATTGTGGAAGAAATTCTTTTTTTAACAGAAAGTTATGCGTCTTTTTAAGGATCCTTATTTAGGGTGAGGAAAGATTCGTGCACTTTGTCCAAATCCATCATACGACATCCCTCTACGCTTATCATCAAAGTCATCGGCACGTTCGTCATCAAGCCCTCTGCGCATGCCCCTGCTCTGGCTCAGACCATTTTCCTGTGTATCCCTGAATTCTCCACCGTGTGAAATTCGGTCTCGAGGCCAAGAGCCCTGTTGTACCTGATGCCTGGGTTCTCTCATTCTCATCCTGGTCAGAGTGAAGTTGAGGTTGGCGGGTTTATTAGGCAGTACTGTACATGATTTGGTTTCCTGTTCAAATCCTTTGGCCGAAACCGTGATGTCATAGGAGCCTGGTACTAGTAATCGCCAAAAGTCGCCGTCACTCGCGGAGAACACATCATGGCGGCGATTTGAAACAGCTACTCTGGCTTCGTCCACTGGGTTACCATCTTGATCTTTAACAAAACCGTGGACACCAGTATGGACCTAATGATAAGCGAATACTTTATAAATCAACCGAGAGGTAACTCATATTGAATTCACACTAAATTAATCTATAAGGATATTTTGTCAACTTCTGACTGACAGGCGAACGCGAAGTTGGCTTCCGCGCTGAGCGTGTCAGAAATCTTAATTCCGTAGACAAGGTGGAATGGATTGTCAAGAGTGACATTTACGCCCCCTCTCCCCTCATTCTCTTTTAGCCTCACCCCAGCTCTCTTAGTTTGCTTTGTCTCATCTCAGTTCCCTCATTATCTTTGACGGATTAAATCATACACGCTAAATTTAGCGGTAGTCTTCTCCGCAGCGATCTTTAAGCCTAAGAAAGAAAATTTATGATCACCCCCTGTCTCTATAGCACGCTGCAACAAGCCTATTTTAAAATCCTTAAAATTAATAATCTATGGATTATCATTTTTGATATACCTGCTCTATATAACTAAGGAGCGCTTCTTTGTTCTCCTGCCAGTATTCTGGCAGTTCGCTTGCATTAGGAAACTTCTGACAACCGAGTTCAAGCGTAATATCAAAGCAGTTAGAGTGCACATAATTGTAATCTTGCATTCCTCCCGATACGCTAAACCACTTGGCACCATTTGTTATTCCGTCTATAAAATGCTCTCGCGGAATCTCTTTGCATTTCCAAGGTGCGTTTGCTAAATGCATTGTGGGATGTGCCTCTGAGTACGCACGCGCAATCTGTCTGAATACGTCATCATCAGGCGTGGCGCTGTACACGCTCTGTCCCGAGGGATTATCATCATACGGGTAATTGGCCACGAGAGCCCCACTATGCAAACTGGCTGACAGCACAAAAGGAATAGAATTGATCCACTTCATGACAGCGCGGGTTTCCGGTTGGGGTGGCCCGTTGGTGCTTGGAAAAAACTGATCTGGAAAATTACGATTCAAGTCGATACCGTTAGCATTAGGTCGGCTTGATTTCCAGCTGTCTTCCCCATCAGCGAATGTGGCAGCCATCTCGTATCCGTCAGGATTCATACTCGGCATAATGTGGATTCTAGTCGTGTCCACAATGTTAGTGACTCTCTCGTTGACTTCGTAGTTTTTGCAAAGATACCTAATTAAATGAAGAAGCATCTCTCTTCCTACTGCTTCATCCCCGTGCATGTTAGCGACGTATTTAAATTCTGGCTCCCCTGGCTCGTGCTTCCCTGGGTTATTGGAGATTTCCATGACCCACAATTTGCGGTTCTGCACCGAAGTACCAATGTCATACAAACGAGCTATTTTGCTATATTTTCTGGAATACTCCTTCAAAAGCCATGTCATTTCTTCATAATTATGATGCCTAAAGCTCGAATTCTTCTCAGGTATTTCAGTTTTAGAGTCTTTTTCTAAATCCTTCAGCGTGCTTTTAGTATCTTCTTGGCTGTGGTCTTTCAGTTCTTCTTTGGCGATTGCGAGTTTATGTTTTATATCCTTGATGGTTGCAAAACTCCCTTTCTTTCCATTATTCGTGTTTGGTTCAGTATCATGTTTGTTTTCCTTTTCGAATGATATTTTTTTAGCTCCTTTGTCGGGTGGCTTTGCAGAAGAAGATAGCACCAGGCTGTGGAGGATCATAAACAGTACGAACAACTTTGCACGGAGCATGGTTGAAGTGCTCGCAGGACTGATCACAGTTGGAAATGTCTGTTCTTTTGTTACACAATATGAATTTAGAGCTCGTATGTTTCTTCTGACATCACCACAGGAGTGGTTGACCGCTCACCACACCTTACAAAGATTTAGTTATGATCTCTACATCTCTCATCGCATCACGGCTATAAACCATTTGTAAATGATCCTTTATCGTGTTTCATTTCAACAGCTCACAAACAAAACTGCAGTTGCATTAATACACATTCGACATGTCAGAAAACTGAAAGACCGCGAAGTCTCAATTAAAATTTAAAGTTTGTCCTCTTGCTGGAACATTTAGATTTAAAGAGTAAAACAGAGTTTTGGCGATCGATTTGTAAAATCCAATTAACAGACCACCTGCTGAGAGATGACAGGTGCAACAATCTACCTGCTCCGAATCTTTTAGCGCAAAAATCGTCTGAATAAATATTTTTATAAGTACATTTGTATTTGAACTTTTTAATCAAAAGCGAGAAAGTAAAGAGCACTTCAAAAATTCTAATATTCAGCGGGTAACCTTGTGAAGTAATTTTGTTGTTGACCTTATTAAAATTAACTTCAGATCGATGCAGTTTACATGATTTGTTGATATCTGAAAATATTTTACAAATCTGCCAAAATATGGATTTTAGAACATAATTGTTTCCCACGAGGAAAAGAAACGAGATGCTTAGAAGAATATTAACCCAAACAAAGATGAGAAAACCCCGTAAATTGCTAAGACAAGCATTTGTTTTCTACTACACCACACCCATTTCAAGAATAAGATCTAAATAAAGAGAGTGAATAAAGTTCTGTGGAGGAATGTCAGATTATGGACAAGTGATCTAATTCGCATTTTGGACTGATTGAATTTCACAGCGGAAGACATTTGACGGTTTGCGATACTAAAGATTTTTCTGCTTTTATATATTTGCTGTTTAGCCGTCCTACGAGACGCTAAAAATGCATCTTATATCGACGTTTGTGATTTTTTTTTTAATTCTGAGTTTTCATCTTGGAAACTGCAACCCGTTTCTAAGGAAAGTTCTTGATATGTTCCACGGTGGCAAACAAAAATTTCAGGTAAACGACGAGGCAAGGAAAAGCGTTGATATTCTGGATGTAAATGAATTTAAACACCACGATTACGAGGAATTGACCTGGTTTTTAAAGTACTTTGCTAAAAAGTACCCAGACATTACAAGATTGTATTCTATTGGATACAGCGTGCAGAACCGTAAGCTATGGGTGATGGAGATATCAGACAATCCCGGAAAACACGAAGCTGGCGAAGCGGAAGTAAAATATATCGGAAACATTCACGGTAATGAAGCCTTGGGCCGAGAACTTTTATTACAGCTGATAAAATACTTTTGCGAAAACTATGAAAATGACCCAGAAATCAAGAATCTTGTGCAGAGGACAAGAATACATATTTTACCGAGCATGAACCCGGATGGTTACGAATTGGCAGCCGTTCGTGGTAAGGGGAACAAACTGGTTGGAAAGAGAAACGCTTTGCGAGTCGATTTAAATCGTAATTTTCCGGACCAGTTTTTCCCCAGTACTACTGGTCCACCACAGCCCGAGGTCAGGGCTGTAATGGACTGGATTAAGGAGTACCCGTTTGTATTATCGGCCAGTCTGCATAGCGGAGCTTTAGTTGCGCTCTATCCTTATGATGATTCACCATCAGGACAGAGTCAGTACAGCGCTACACCGGATGACGATGTTTTCAGACGTTTAGCAAAGACATATTCACAGGTACCTTATGTTTAATTTAATTCCTAACGGTACCAATTTGAGGAAGATGTCTAGATAACTCGACCACTAGGGTAAATCTTACATATCTTACAAATCCTTCTAGTTGCTGCTACAAGAAAATGTATGCAGACCTTTGAGGAAAATTTATGAAAGAAAGAATTAAGTGTTATTTCCCTGAAAGTTTGAATTTTATCACTTGAGCTTTTAGCATTTACTATTTGAGTTTGTTATTCCTTTCTATGAATTTAGCGTTAAGTATCATTTTACATACTGATGAATTTCAACTGTAGGTGACCAGTTTGGGGAAGGTCTTATTTCCCTTCTTTCACTCTTTACAATCTTGCATCAATATGCATATTCTCCATACTGCTCTCTGTATATTTGCTGTGGTATTGATATGGAGAATTTATATGAAAATGAAGAGCTGCTTAAGTAAGCGATCATTTCCTTTATTCTCATGACCTTACTGTTTGATTTAGCAGTGATAATGTAAGGAGATATAGAGTGTTGGTCAATGTTAGGAGTTGAAGGGTTTAAGTCAAAAACTGATTCGCTGCTTTGTTTTCTACGCAAGGCGCATCCCGTGATGCATCTGGCAAATCCTAAATGGAACTGTACGGATCAAAAGGAAGAACATTTCATAGACGGCATCACGAATGGTGCCAGCTGGTCGAGTTTGTCAGGAGGCATGCAGGATTACAACTACGTTCACTCGAACTGCTTTGAAATAACACTGGAGCTTGGCTGCGATCGATTTCCTAAAGGTACTGAGTTGGAAAAGTACTGGCATGATAACAAGAAGGCTTTGGTGGAGTTGACTCAGCAGGTATGAGACTTTCTCCTATTTTGTTGAAATGTCATTGTGATGCAGATTCTCTGCCTTCGAGACCGGTCATTGTATTCTGATGACCTCCCCCCCTCCCCTCTCCCTTAGTCAAAAACTGATCCCCCCTCCCCTCCCCCTTAGTGGCGCTTAAATGGCGGTCAATTTTCTACAGTTCCCCGTTATTTCTACAAAGAGTCAAACATGTATCATTTCTCTTGCATCTAAGGTGCATTATGGCGTGAGTGGATTTGTCAAGAACATACAAGGAGAGCCTCTCTCTGATGCAACCATTAGCGTTGCAGATCGTCGTCATGACGTCACTTCATCAAAGGATGGAGACTTTTGGCGCTTACTCGTACCAGGTTCATACGAAATCACAGCCACGGCACAAGGTTACCAGCCACAAACCCAGCTTGTGGAGCTTCGGGCGTTTGAAGGGAAAGTTGTAAATTTTACTCTAAAGCCGACTCAGGAAGACGGGATGAAGATATCACTTGAAGGAAGCGAAGACGAATTATTAGACCGAGTCATGGTGAGTCTAAGATACACAGCATTATTTTTTTTACTGATTTACAGAGTAATTTATCTCGGAGCTGTGTTGGGATTTGTACTTTTCCTGTGGAGACGAACGAAAAAAACCAGCGAACGTTTTCAAGAGCAAATAAGGAAAAATGAGGGATAATAAGGGCGCTCATTTCACTCATATTCAGTTCAAGATGGAAATGTAATTCTGTTTACTCAATCCTTCAGTCTGTGATCCTTCAATTTTTTTGACACGTCTTTTTATGTCATTTTTAAACAGGCAGGAACCTTTGTCACGGACGAAGGAGTGGATCCGAGGGAGCATATCATCAAGCTGACCAATCAGAATGACAGGGAGGAACAGCCGTTTCATAAACACGTATTACATCCAGGGCTTAACGACAGGTGTGTCATGTAAGGCGTTATGAAATGAAATCATAAAGTTGGTCGGACTTCGCTGTAGTAGTCGCCCTTTCTCAGTCACCTCAGGCACGTCGACGCACATTCATCGAGATCTTACTGTGACAGCTCATCAGCTTGCAAAATGAGCTTTTGTTAACGTAGGCTTGGTTCATAGACTAAGACTAATATTTGGGTTGAGTTAATATTCTTCTCAAAGTAAGGACCCGGCTCCTCTTTAGCCATGCCTTGAAGTTTTAGGTTTGACTCCTGTATATCAGCAACATCTCACAGAGAGTTTGATGGCAAAACCCACTTTGATTATTACAACCGAGAGAGCATATTCTCTTGTCGTCACTAGTATCACGAACACAGCAAATAACCGTGTTGATTTTTTCCTTTTTTCATATTTATAGATCAAGGTTGTCTCTTGAGAATGCGCTTCTTAGCGATGAAACTGCTCGTGGAAGTGGATCTGTTGAAGAAAGCAAACCCGACGATATCTCTGGTGAAGGAGGAGGGAGTGGTGACGTAAAATCCAAGCAGGAACCAGACAGACGGGTGTCTCATCCAAAACTGGTTAAACCAGACAAACCTGTCACTATCTCAAGACCGGTAAAGCCGGCTAAGCGTGTCACTATTCAGAAACCGGCTAAAACCATCAGCAACAAGACAGCCCCCAAAGTTATTACAAAGCCCCAAGCTCCTAAACCGAAAATCAATGTGATACAAAAGAAACCAGCGCTTGCAGCAGGGAAGAAAACCATACCCTCTAAATCACCTGCCACAGACAAGCGCTTCTTGAAGTTGATTGGCTCAAACGTGGCGTGTCGTCTGGTTGGAAAGAAGGGATTAAAGAATGGAAACTTGAGGTGGGTGGGGCACTTACCCCACTTGCCATTAGACGACTCCCATCTCATCGCTGGTGTGGAATTATCCACCGATGATAAACTGGGAACTGACGGCACATATCGTGGTGTAAAATACTTTACAAGTACTCCGAAACGAGGTTACTTCTTCCGACTGAGGGACTGTAAGGCTTTAAAACATTGAAAATTTATTTCCCCTGAACTGATTCGAAATTATCCGTCATAAGCTGCACTGCATTCATTGTATGCTAGTTTCGAGAATGTGGTGTTATATGAGGATGACGTATGACAACCATTCTGCTCCTCAGAGAGCATCACTAAAAACCGCTTTGGCTCTCCCTTACAATATTATTTTCATCATAGTGCGATATCATTATCATTTGTTAAATTATCATTACTATTATTAGCTGATGCCTTTTTGTATTGTCATCAACTTTTTTTCTGTACAAAGTTTTGATATTAATCGAAACAAGAAGTTATAAATCAAAAAATATATAGCCACTAAACAGTAGAGTGAAATGCAACCTTTTCAGTCACACTAGAAATATTGGTGTTAGACCTTCATGTTGTTCCTGATGGACAGTTCGGATTAGTGTCAAGACTTTCTTTGTAGCTTCTCTTGACCTTGCTAGTTTTATCTTCACAGTTTCCTGATCAGTGACTGAGAATTTTTGATAAGGCGTAAGTTTTTTGTACATGTAAAGCATA